AAAGGTAATGTTACGCGTGCTCTCATTCATATCAAAATCGGTACAGGTTTAATAATCTAACTTGTATGTAAAAACATTTCTCTAAAAAATATGGCTCACTGTTTTTGATAATTTCGTCCCCACACTAGTGTAAGAGTTACACTGGTGCAGTGATTCAGGCGTTGAATACCACATATAAAATTATTACTCATGCGGAGAATGTGTTCAGATTAGAATTATTGGCGTTGACAAGAAAAGGTGCACCAATTATTGATAATAATTGGCTGTAAGTGTTGAGCATCATAAATGAAGACAGCAGTATAGGTGGTATTTTAATCAACAAAATGGTTAAAGTGTTATTAAACCGAGTGTTTTCAATGATTATTTGTTTTAAAAGCTTGGTTAATGTATTTCAGATTTAAAAATTTTATCCAAAGAAATTCTGGTTTTCGAAGCACACTTGCACTCAACCAGGTGTGATAAGAGAGATAGTCCAAAAAAAGTAACATTGTTTAGGGAACAATAGAGTACCAGCACCAGTGCAACCTAGCAAATGAAATATTTCTACCGCAATCACTTTCAAGAAAAATAGTCAAATAAAGATTTGTAGTGATTCTTACGTCAAAATAAACCCTTAAAATGACGAGACACCTTCTACCTCTTGTTCTAGATGTTCTAGTGATCTATTAAGGGAATACAGTACAGTAAAAATAAAATTAATACCAAGCATATTAAAAAATAAAGCTTAATGCTGCGTCACAAGCGTTAATTACCACTAACACACTAATGCTTATTTCATCATACTCCTTGGGCTTATAGTATCGTATTCATGCTTCACTGGCTTTGAAGAAAGATTGGAACGTTTGTGTTAAATATTTAAGGTATACGTATATTTTTTGACGATATTTGTGTAATAAAATGTGGCTAAACCTTAGAGCACATATACCTGGAGGGAGCATACAATGCTTCGGCCGCGAGACTAGCAAAGAGAGAGAGGGCCCGTAAAGTAGGATATGCTTTCCCTCTTTTACACTCCGATGATTGGCTAGCCCCCTTCCGCGTATATAGCTATAGTTGTCTCTAAGAGTAGAGCTGGTAAGAGAAAAGAGCGTATATATATATA